CCTCTGGCGACCACTGATCTTTTCTCCATCTTCCTAGTTTTGTCTTTTCCAGAGTGTCGTACGTTTGGAGTCATGCAGTATATAGCTGTTTTGGACTGGCTTCTTTCACTTAGCAATATGCGTTTAAGATTCATCCATGTCTTTTTGTGGTTTGAGACCTCATTTCTGTTTATCGCTTAATAACATCCACGGTACAGATGTACCACAATTGTTTACCCATTTACCAGTGAAGGGCATCTCGGTTGCTTCCAGTTTCTGATGTTTATGAATATAGCTGCTCTAAATATTCGTGGGGTCCGTGTGTGTGTGTGTGTGTGTGTGTGTGTGTGTGTGTGTGTGTGTACGTGTGTTTTCAAAAAAGCATAGGTTTTCAAAAAAGTCGGGTGTCTTTGCTGAATCGTATAGTAACTCGGTGTTTAGCCGTGTGTTGACCTCTGCTCTTTAGAGTTTCACGGAAGGAACATATGACTTGTTTTGGTTTGTGTCCCTTTGACAGTGCCATGTTACTACTCTCTTCCTATTTCTGGAAGCTTGATTGAAATTTCTCCAGAGGAGTGTTAAAATTCAAATTGTTTTCAGTGAAATTTGAAATTATGATGGAGCTTCTAAGAGTAGACTCTTAAAAATCTTTTTAATTTTAAAATTTATCCCCAGTGGGTCCTATCCTGAGAACTTAATAGATCAGCTGTCTAATAAGTTGAGGTAATTGAGATACAACAGTAAAAGTTAAAAATAATCGTTCTAGCATTCCTGGAGGCTTTGAGAGTGACATGTACATTTAATTTGAAATTTGAGGAAAGTGTAAAGACTCTGTAGATGAGTGAGGTTCTCTCCGTGTAGTCTTCAGCATCTACATGATTTCTGAGCAACTCCAAAACTTGAAACAGATTGAAACCTATTAAAGAGGAGGAAAAAGCAGGAAAGCGGTTTGGATCTTTTTTAGCTTTATCAGTGTATAACTATTGATGTGGAATATTGATATATAATAATACACTGCATATATTTAAAAGGTACAATTTGAGTTTTGACGTATGGCTGTCAGACCAGAACAAGGTAATGAACGCAGCTATCACCTCCCAGAGTTTCC